TTCAGTCCTCTTATTCTTTAAGGCAGTAACTTGCAAACTTTTTTCAAAGTGACTTATGGTGAGAAATATATTTTGTATATACACACATTTATATTTACAGAAGCATTTATATTTTTAAGTATTATATTTGTATATATACTTTTAAAAGTTCTTCACTCTCTCAATTAATAAAGTATTTTTCAATCTAGTTAACAACCCTGTAAAGAGTCACAGGATTTATCTAGTGAGTTTAATCAACATTTTAGAAAACAGAAAAAAAGAAAATATCAGAAGTCTGTCACAAGGAACATAGGTTAAGTATCGTTTCATGAAAATTTTATTTCAATTTTGCATGTATGTAGGTGTGTGTTCTGGACATGAAGTAAAAGGTTTTCTCACATGGGTCTTAGTCAAAAATGGTTGACACTACTGTTTTGTGGCATTGCCATTTGAAAAGCATTGCAGTCTAAGGGCCCTTATCTTCAAAAATGCTCTATTGTAATATTCGTAATGTTGAAAGTTTTCATTATGTCACATCTCAGTGTCTTAACCTCTGTCCCAGGGAAAATGAGTTTGAGAAATGTGACTCAGCAATGTGTAACTACACAAAGGGTCATTTGGAAATAGAAACAAAGAAACACTAAATCATGATGCTCTGCTCATTCTTAGACCCTCGGCACACACGAAAAAATAGGGATCAATTTAGAAAATGCCAAAAAAGCAACAAATGGTTTAAACACTAAAAAATGCACTTATAAGGAACTGCTTATGGGGACTGAATTGATACGCTAATAAGAAAATATTAGCTATTTCTATATTTGACTGAAATACCATGATTAAGCAACATGAATTCTCTCAAATTTGATATCAGACATGTATGGTTCTGGTGCACAGGAAGAGGATTTCCTTCTTAATTATACTTTAGCCTGTTCCATCAACAGCAAATTTCTACGGTGAGAGCCACGATAAACATCTAGAGGCAAAGATCAGCAGATAAATATGAACTGAGTATATGATCCAAGAGAAGATATCATGACAATTGGAAGAATTTAACAATTAAAGACAAATAAAACTTTTTATCTTGGTGTAAAAAAAGTATTTTGTAATAGTAAGAATAAGTGTTTAGTGAGGGGAAAGCTCGAGTTGACTCCTAAAGAGCATTTTGTGGTTTCATGTTTTAACAGTAAGAATTATCAGAGTAAAAAAATAAAAAACAGAAAAAAACTCCGAGAAAGACATATCAGCATTTCAAATTGAAATAGTTCACAGCAGCTAAGCCAAGAGATAATGTAAGTAGTGCATTGAACCAAGGGGTTGGATAAGATTACCTAATGACTGCCCTTTTCCAATATTAAGGATTTAAAAATAATCCTTAATAACTGACATGCTACCTCCGTCAGCTGTTGTCAATAAGCAAACCCAACCTGAAAATTATCCCTGGCTTTTTGTTTTCAAAGCTACAGATGAATCTTGGCACTGAGTGGTAAACCTGCCTCTGGGTAGGACTGTAAGTCAGCTTTCTGGACAGCTCTTTTACTAGCTAAATCATAGAGCAGAATATGCACAAACTCTTGAAAGCCATTTTCATTAGTATTCCTACCCAAAGTTACCTAAGTTGGGCTATAACTGCACAAGAGGAAGGGTGTGTAGAAGGCAGAGGTCAGGGGAAAGAGAGAGGGCAAACATTTCAAAGAACCAGCTGGTACCCTGAGACAGAAGTTTCTTTGTAGATGGCGAAATAAGAGACCCAACTTCATTGATAAGCTACTAAGAGAGAATAACAAGGAGATCCATTGCCCAAAATTTATTGCCAATTTTTGCTTTCTGTTTTAAACACAACTACCAAATAAGATATTGAGCTGCCAGGTTTTCTCCCTTAGCATTTATATAGAGAGATAATGAAAAAGAATGGAAATTCCAAAGATTTGTCCTTCCCATAATTAAAGCATATTCTTTTCTATCTTACCCAATATTTCTCCTTCAATTAAGTTTTATATACAAGAACCAAGATCCTCCTAGAATCTTTCCCATTATTTCCAATCACCCTTTAGCTAATGATGTTTTAGCTTTTAATGATGTTTTAGTATTTAAAGATGATGCTTTCCTGCCTTAACTAATGTGATCTTGAAAGTATAGCAACAGTATGAGAATTTCTCTAAAACCCAGGGGAGAGACAAGGAGGAAAGCTACAACCCAGTCATTCTCTCCAAATGTCTTGTCTTTTGCAACTAGTATACTAGAAGAGAGAGAGGCAATTACATTATAGTTATTTTATTTTGATCTAAATAAGTTGTTGCTTTCCTTATTAGGGTTTAATTGATTAAACATGAAGATATCAGCAAGTGATTTCTGTTTTAATTACATAGGTATTAAAGAGTTTGATAATAATTTTAATAGTGACAAGCTGTAGTGTTCACTCATCCATGAACAAAAATTATATTACAGTATTCAGACTTCTTAAATGGGAGGGGTAAATATTATCTAAATATTTTATGTGGAGGAAAAATATCTGATAGAATAGTGATCTTCTAATAGGTTAAGTTTAATTGTAAAAGTAAAAACTTTACAAATAAGCATTAGTTGTGCACCTATTGTATGTCAGGCACTGGGGATTTAAGTACAAAGAAAAGGCACTGACCTCAATATTTCATTGCTCAGAGATATGCACATGTAATTTCAATACAGTGAGGAAAAATGATATAAGTATACAGAAAGTACCATGAGAACACAGATGAAGAATTTAGTAGAAAGTCTTCTAGTGGTGTTTGAAAGTGGTGTTTTAGAGGATGACAAATTTACCTAGTAATTGTTCCTAGGGAAAAAGTACTTCTGACAGAGGTAAATTATGTGCAAAAAAACAAACATCCTCTAGATAATATGCTAATACAGTAGTGATTTGAGAAATAGTATCTATAACATTAACAAAACTTGAGCAAAAAATTAAGAAACAATATAGAGCCCAGAATGCAACAGAGAGAGTACACTGGTCATTTGTTTTGGGGATTCTCAGCATTTAATTTCCTCCTTCTGAACTGTATCCAAGTTATTTTTGAGATATTATCTTTCCCACATTGTTTGGCACATTGGTGAGGTGGTAAATCCAGGTGCTTATCTCTTGCTAAGAGAACAAGCATATTCTCTATGTCACCTCATCTCAGGAAGAGGAGTGAAAACATGACCTAAGCTTGCCTAATTAGATGGAATCTTCTGGGACTCTAATACTTGACCAAGAACAGAAGAAGCTGTTGGATATAATTCATTTCAAAAGGACATCAAGGGCCGGCCCTGTGGCTTGGTGGTTAAGTGCGCGCACTGCAATGCTGGTGGCCCGGGTTCGGATCCCGGGTGCGCATTGAGGCACCACTTCTCCGTCCATCCTGAGGCCGAGTCCCACATACAGCAACTAGAAGGATGTGCAGCTATGACATACAACTATCTACTGGGGCTTTGGGGAGAAAAAATAAAATAAATAAAATCTTTAAAAAAAAAAGGACATCAAGATCAGACTGTTCCTAAGGTTCTTACATCCCTAGCACCCTTCAGAGTTTATCCCCAAGTGGGACATCAGGTGACCAGGAAGCTAGAGCCATTTACTAGAGTAGGCAGACACAGAATCTCCCTCAGAGAAATAATGTGCCTTCCCCCAAAGCCATAGCAGTCTGCTCAGCTCATGCGTTGGGACATCTGGAAAGTGCAGAGAAGGTAACATCCTCATGAGAAACCCACAATAATGGAGGACAAGAGCCCCAGCTCCCATTATACATGCAGTAAGACACTTCTGGAAGCATTCTGTTTGCTTCTCTGAAGTCCAAACAGGATTAAGCCATAAATGTCTACAGCATCAACCACTATAATATATCTTTACATTTGTTATTCCTCTTTCTCTGGCTTGCTCTAACCATTCTCTTTCTCTTGCTTCCTGTGAGCACCTCCAAAACAATCTGTCTTATCTCAAACTCTGCTTTGAGGGAAATCTAAACTAAGATACCCCCATAGTTTACTTAACCATTATGACAATTTAGTGGGGTGGGTATTATTTTCCCTGCTGTACAGATGAGGAAAGGCTAGAAGAGTTCAATTAATTTGTCCATTCAATTATTGGAATAGATGGGGTTTAAACTCTAATCTTTTTTATCCTAAAACCCATGTTTTTAACCATTATGCTACACTATCCAAATATTATCAGATGGATGATTACAAAAAATAAACTTATTGAAAGTAAAAAGGCAAAAGTATGAAAAATAACTATAATGACAATAATTTGTTAATGGATACACAATATAAAAAGATGTAAATTATGACATCAAAAACATAAAACGTAAGAGGGGGAGTGTAAAAACGTAGAGTTTTTGTTTACATTTGAAGTTAAGCTATCAGCTTATGATAGACTGTTACTATAAGATGTTTTATGTAAACCTCAAAGGATAAAGACAAAGGAATCAAAGGATACCACTACAGAAAAATCTTTAAATCATAAAGGAGGAAAGAGAAGAAAAGAGGAACAAAGCCACAAAACAACCAGAAAACAATTAACAAAATGTCAATTGTAAGTGCACACCTACCAATAATTACTTTAAATGTAAATGGACTAAATTCTCCAATCAAAAGACATAGAGTGGCTGAATGGATTTTAAAAAACCTACTATATGCTGTTAATTATAAGGTATGTTAAATGTTAATAAGTGATATGGAAATAAAGAAAAAAGAGTCCAAGTGAGGGTGTGTTGAGAATGAAGGACATAGATTACCTTATTAAACAGGTTGGCCAGGATGAGCCTCATTGACAAGATGAGATTTGAGAGAAGACTCAAAAGGTACAAAACCAGCCAAGAAGATACCAGGTGAATTGAGTGTTTCAGGCACAGAGAGAACCTAGAGAAAAGGCCTAAGTTGAGCTTGTGTTTGGCATGTTCATGGAATTGCAAGGAGGCCAGTGTGGCTGGAGCTGAATGAACAAGGGAGAGAATTGTAGGAGATGAGGTCTGAGGGCCAAAAGAGGTATATGTCATGCAAGCTTATAGGTCATGTATTAGTTATCTATTGCTGTGCAACAAATTACTCACACATTAGCAGCTTTAAACAATGATAAACACTTATTATTTCACACAATTTATGTGGTTCTAGAATTTGGTGTGGCTTACTGGTGGTTCTGGACCAGGGTCTCTCATGAGGTTGCAGTTATAATATTGATTGGGGCTGTAGTCATCTGAAGGTTTGACTAGGGCTGGAGGATATGCTTCCAAGATGGCTCATTCACATGGCTGTTGGTGGAAGACCTCAGTTCCTTGCCACGTGGACATCTCCATAGGGTTGCTTGAGTGTCCCTACAAAATGTACCTAGCTTCCTCCAGAACAACTGATCCAAAAGAGGCCAAAGCCATAATGTAGAGCCTCAGAAGATACATTTTCACAACATCATATTATATACACACACCAGGATTTTTCAATATGAGAGGGAATTACAATGTTAAGTCCCAGAAGGCTAGGATCATTTAGGACCATATTAGAGACTGGTGACCACAGGCCATAATTGGGAATTTGGGTTTTACTCAGGAAAATAGGGAGTCATTATAAGGTTTTAAATAGAACAGTGATGACTTATATTTTAAAGGATTACTCTGGCTACTATTTTTTTTTTTTTTTTTGGTGAGGAAGATTCACCCTGAGCTAACATCTTTTGCCAATCATCCTTTTTGCTTGAGGAAAATTCATGCTTAGCTAATATCTGTGCCAATATTCCTCTATTTTGCATGCGGGTCACCTGCCACAGCATGACTGCTGACGAGTGGGGTAGGTCCGTGCCTGAGAACTGAACCTGTGCCACTGAAGTGGAGGAGGCCAAACTTAACCACTAGGCCACAGGGCCGGCCCCTGGCTGCTGTCTTTTTGACCGGAGTTTCAGAGGCAAGAACAAAAGCAGGAGCCTTGTTAAAAGACTATTGCAGTAATCGAGGTGAATGATGATAGTAGATCTAGTAGTAGCCATGGAAGAGAAAAGAAGAGGTTGGATTACAAATATTTTTGAAGGTTTAGTACAGAATTCATTTCATGTGGGGTTTGAAAGACATAAGAGAACTCAAAGACAAAGTTTTGATCAAGTAACTAGAAGTACAGAGTTGACATCAACTGAGAAGGAGAAGGCAATTAGTAAACCAATTAGGTGAGGCAGGAGTGGGTAAGTCTAGGAATTCAATTTTGGAAAGCTGAGTATGATGTGTCTGATAGACATCTGAACACACAAGTCTAGAATTTTAAAGAGAAATTTTTTTCTACAGCACTATAAATGCATGCATATGATATTTAAAGACACGAGACAGAATAAGATTATCAAGAGAGTGACTGTGGATAAAGAAGAAAGGCGGTCCAAGGACTAAGCCCTAGGGCCTTCTAGTATTAAAAAATGAAGAAGAGAAGGAACCAAAAAGGAAACTGAGACAGAGCTTTCAGTAAGGCAGGAAGAAATCCAAGAAAGCATGGTGCTCTGGAATAGAAGTGAAGAATATATTTCAGGGAAGACGGGTGATTCACCTGCTATTGATAGGCTAACTCTGAAAGCAGAGATTTGATCACAGAACCTGGCAACCTGGGTGAGCTTCAGGGCAGTGGGTTTGGGAGATTGATGGAGGCATAAGCCTGACTGAAGAGGATTAAAGAGAGAATGGGCAGAGACAGACTGGAGTTATGGCTACGGGTAACTTTTCAGGTAGTTTTGCTGCAAATAGGAGCAACAAAATGGGGCGACAAGCTGGTGGGAAAAGAGGGATCAAGAGAAAGTTTTAGCTTGGGACAAGTAGTAGTATTTTTGTGTGATGATACCATGGGAAAGATGGGTGATATAATAGAGACAGGGAGAATTTCTTGAGCAAAGCATTGAGAGGAGATGAGTTCTAAAGCACAGTGGAGGGGTTGACTTGACACAGGACCACGGATAGTTCACCTATGGTAACAGGCAGGATGTCCGAGTATGTGGGAGCAGATGGGTTGAAGTGGTGGTGATAATCTCTGTAAATTCTCTTGTGAATGCTCCAATGTTCCTAGTGCAGAAGAAAGTATTGGGGTTTGGAAAGAAAGAAAAATATTTTGAATCCTCATCAAGAGAGCAGAAGAATGAATTTTTTAAAAAATCTAGGATGATTGCCTTGGAGAATTAAGGATCTACTTCTAATTTAAAGTCATTGTGGCTGTGTGCTTTTTCTCCAGACCGTTTTAGCTTCAGGGTTACAGACATGGAGTAGGAAAAGAGTTGGATTTACCCAGGATGACGGATTGCCAAGTGAGTAAGACAAAGAGAGAAGAGCAAGGGACTGGAGAGTGTTTACACGGGAATGATTATAATGATTAACTATAAAATTTAGTCTGGAAGGATATGAGGGCAATTAAAAGAAGGTAGGATCAAAAGATCAGAGTTCTCATTAGGGTCAAAGGATAGTTGGAGCCCTAACACTAGAGAGAGTGGGCTGGAAAGACAGCACATGGCAGTCAGAGAGTAAGATGTTCAAAATTGATGTTATGAAGAAGTCCAGGTATGACTGTGCGAGAGTGGCTAACATAAGGTGGAGGACAAGATCATTGGAAGAGAGGTGGTCAAGGAACTGCTTGATCAAGGTGTTAGACGAATCATCTATACATCTATTGACGTCTACCATCATTAAGACTAGAGTGCTATTGCCGAGAGTGAAATAGGCACTTATATCACCAAGAAATCAACAGAAATAACCCAAGAATCCATAAATCACAGCAACAGCGAGGGGCAAGGATAATACCATCTGATGGCATAAGATTCATGGTTGGTTGTTTCCAGGGAAGGAGATAGGGAGAAGCATCTAAAAGTAGCAATGAGGAACCAGGAGAACACCTACCCTACCTCCAGAATCGTGGTACCAGGGCTCTGAGAGAAAAAGCAGCCACACTTGAGAGGCTACAGGGAAAATGTGACCTAAGACAAGAGTCAGGTTTGCCTTAGAACAGGAAGTTGAAGAGAGGCTGAGGATACAGGGGATTTTACTACCAACAGACTCTGAATTCACAGAGCATAATGGGTAAGTTTCAGGAATTAGGAAGAGTGAAAGGAACAAGGCAATGGTTTTCTGCTGGGACCACAGGCATCCGCATCACCTGAGAACTTGTTAGAAATTCCAATTCTCAGGCCTGACCCCATGCCTACTGAATCAGAAACTAACTCAGGCCCAGCAATCTGTGTTTTACAAATTCTGCAGGTAACTCTGATATGACATAAAGTTTGAGAACCATTGGAGCAGGAGCAGATTCACTTGGGCTTAAAGTGTAGGACAGGAAGTCTGAGGGGTTTTGCAGTGGCTGATATAATTGTGGATAGAAGACATAATGAGATTATGTCTGTATTCAAAGCAGATCGTGGAGACAAGTGTTGAGTGTTGGGGAAAAGGGGAGAACAGCGAGGGGTCGGTTTCTGGAACTCTTCACCCCTGAAGGCCTTGAGAGTCAGATACAAAATTTCCCTATTTCTTCAGCTTAAAAGGTTTCTATTGGTGCCTATTGTCACCACACTAGAGCTTACACCCACCAGTATCTCTCTCTTCTTCTCTCTCAAAAAATAGACAAAATAGTCTACCTTAATTAAAGGATTTTTGGTTAGAAGTAACAGAAAGCCACTATAAATAGCTTAAATGATTAAAGGAAAATTTATTCTAAGAGTATAAGTATTCCAAGACAGAAAGCAGAATGGTACCTAGTAAGGAGTTATCTGTGTGTGTGTGTGTGTGTGTGTGCACAAGTGTGTTAAATTCTGGGACCGTTTGGATGAGGTAAGTACCCTGGTCGGCTATAGCTTGAGATGTGGTAACATAAAATACAAATCTGGTTGCCAGGGCCCACCTGTATGAGCATGGTTAGGATGGGGGTCATTTCTCAGAGTGGAGTTGTGGGCTAGGCCGCTGCCTCAAAAAGTCTCTACAACTGAGACTTTGTTCTAAATCAAGGACTCAGCATAATTTAGGTGGATAAATACCTGGTAACTTTCTGTCAAATGGAAAGTGGGAAAGCACCTTGGCTAAGTGTTTCTTTTCTAATTGTTTTAAACACTGATCATAATTTGAAAAAGCTCTTTTTTGTAAGAAAGAAGGTAGAAATTACCCCAAAATTGCAACATATATACTTAGGCAGCATTTAGTAGGTTAAAATATTTCCTCTCATTGAGTTAAATAAGATAGACCTATCATTCTGGATATTTATAAGTCGTGTGTGTATGTGTGCGCGCGCACGTGCACACTTGTGTACGTATATTTATTTTACGTTGTATGTGTGTGCTTTGCCAACTTTCTCTGCACCATATATGACTTCTGTAAGGTAGATTAGAGAGTATTTCACTCTGACATTATCACACACCTCTCCTGAGTAAAGCCTCCCAAAATGGATTTTAATTGAGTAAGCCCTTCTACTTCTGAGGCTCCCAAAATATTTTATGAAATCTAATTTTCTGATTTTTAGTTATTTCTAAATATACAAGTTATTTCTAAATATCTCTAAGATAAAAGAAAGGAACAGAAGCCCCAATATAGCTAAAGCAAACGACAAAACAAACTCAAATCATGATATGAAAACAGCTCAGAAAAGAATCCCTTTGTGACCAATTGCCTAGGCCTATGTTTAAGAGCTTTTTCCCTTCCTTGCTGTCTCTCTCTCTCTCTCTCTCTCTCTCTCTCTCTCTCTCTCTCTGTGTTCTCACTTGGTCTGTCCAAATGACATTCTCCTTTTTCTGTTCTTATTCACTTTCATTACTTGTGATAATATTTTCTCTTTTATGTCTCTGGAAAATATTTGAACAGCATTTGTAATGCTAGGCGGGCTCCTGTTTTTCTGGGTGAAGGCTCAGAGACAACAGTCCAATGTGTTTATGCAGAACAGATATTGAATGTACCACAGATTTTAAAAAATACAAGTGTACTGCCCTCATTTTTTTATCTCAACTTATCCTTTTCATAAGATACTTAAAAGAAGTAAAAACAAGACTAAAAGGCTTTGAAACACTTGTCCGGTTGGGTGGTAGATTCTTTTTTTTAACAAATTGATCATGTGTCGTTGCCTTGATGATGTTAGAGAATGGAGGACGCAGGTGTTTCTGATATTTTTATAATGTTCTGGATTTGGATAACATTTTTCTATCCTATTTATTGGAAAAATTACTTGGCCCCAGGCTATTTAAATTATTTTTGTATTAATGTTACTAAGTGTGGAAAAATGCCACAGATGATTTCTTAATTCATAATCATTTTCATTTTCAGTACTTTTCCACTTTATTCATTGTTCTCTTGTAGAAGGGCAGTGAGGCATAGTGGAAATCACTCTAATTTGGGAAGACCTGAATTTTTCTATCATTTGTGTAAATAGGTAAGGTTGAAGGTAA